TACTGCCATTTGCAACAACATGGATGGACCTTGAGAAAATTATATTAAGTGAAACAAGTCAGGCACAAAAAGAGAAATACCATATGTTCTCACTTATTGGTAGGAGCTAAATATAAAGGAATAAATTCACACACACACACACACACACACACACACACAAACCGGGGGTGGGGGGGGGAAGATGACATAGCAACTACAATTCCTTGAAGTTGATACGACAAGCAAACAGAAAGGACATTGTTGGGAGGGAGGGGGGAGAGGGAGGGGGGAGGGACGTTTTGGTAATGGGCCACAATAATTACCCACATTGCATATCGGAAAAATTAAATTATGAAAAAAATAAATATACAAAAAAAAAAAAAATGGGGCCGGCCTGTGGCTCACTCGGGAGAGTGTGGTGCTGATAACACCAAGGCCACGGGTTCGGATCCCATATAGGGATGGCCGGTTCGCTCACTGGCTGAGCGTGGTGCTGACAACACCAGGTCAAGGGTTAAGATCCCCTTACCGGTCATCTTTTAAAAAAAATAAATAAATAAAAAAATTTAAAAAAAAATTAAAAAATAAAAATTAAAAAAAATAATAAATTTCGGAGACAGAAATAGATTAGAGGTTACCTGAAACTGGGGGGGGAGGAACGATGAGAAGTTATATCTTAATCGGTACAGAGTTTATGTTTAGGATGACAAAAAAGTTTTGGAAATAGAGGCAATGGTTACACAGCAATGTGAATGCAATTAATTCCATGTAATTGTATGTTTAAAAATGCTTCAAATGGCAATCCTTATGTTATATATATTTTACCACAAAAACACACACACATACATATTAAAGTCAATAAACAGCCAATCAACTAAGGGATAGGATTGCAATAAACATTGTTTGGGGAATCTGTCCAGTCCCTGAGCTATTCCTTCTTTTCTGAAAAAAGTTCCCTGACTGACTAGGCTGAAACTCCACTATCCTACCTACAAGTGACTAATTCCTGAGTGGAACTTAAACCAACATGGGATAATGAAGTTTCTTTCTGGTGGGAATTTAGAATTGGGGAATCACAAATAGCCAGTTTAGTTTTTATATAAGTGGAAATGCAACATGCAAATTGTGGTAGTCACGTGCTTTCATTCAGACAGAGGAGCAGAGAAACTACTCAGTCTTCAGAGAAATAAATGAAGAAAATCTACAAAGCTGGAGAAACTAGGGAAATAAGGAGAATACATTCTCCTGACAGTCTCCCTGTCCCTAATATCCTCCAGGTATATCTTCCTGTGCCTTGATTTTTAAGATTCCCTTTTGTTTACTTAAACTAGCTTGGATTATTTTATTTACATCCAAAGGGCATTAACTAATAAAGGATAATATGGATGTAAAAGGATACAAAGTAATCTTATAGAAGAGAGAGAAAAAAGAAGAATATATAGAACATTTACCAAAAACAAACAAAAAACCCCAAATTACTTTTCAACCACACTGTAAAACTATAGTAAAAATCCCTTCAGTTTTGTGTTCTCTTCTTAAAGAGGATATGGGATAAACACAAAGAAACTTGACCTTTGTTTCCTCTGTCCTCACTGCATCCAGCAGATAATGAAGAAGCTCCTGACTGTCCTGTTGTTGGAAACCTTTAAATCGAGGTGCTCTATGTTTTAAAGACAAAACAAGAAAAAATGATCATTTCATGGCTCATAAACAATGTTAGTTTTATTTAAAAATCACTAAAATAACAGTCAAAGATTTAATTTACTACTATTTCAACTACGTTGAAAAACAAAATGTGATTACTGTTCCAATTAGGATGAAATCTTCAATCTACACTGAGAACAGAATGGCTATCATTTACTAAACAACTACTATATGCAAGCACAGTACTAGCAGCTTTACAGATGTTAAGTCACATAATCCTCAGACAACCTTGTTGGGAAGTATGACTTTCTCCAGCTTACACATTAGGGCTCAGAGGGATTTATTTAAATAATTTGCAAGGTCATACAGCTAGCAAAAACACAGTATTCAAACCCAAGCCACTGTGATTTATCTTCCTACCTTAAATAACCAAAAGAAAAGGAAGAGAGTGTTTATATTAACACAGGACTATAAATTGATATTTCTGTGAATATATTTCTTTTAAGGATATGACGATTACATTTCCTGTGTATTAATTAAGAAAGTCAGGTGCTAGTCATGGAGATACCAACACAGCAAATATTTAGTTGATGTCAGTAACTTTAAAAAGTAATCTGCAACAAACTCCAATGGAGGAAATTTTTGTCTTAAATGAAAGCTAGTAATAAGCCTAGAAAGTGTTCTAACCTAAGATGGAGAAAGAATTCTGCCAAAACAATAAGAATGTCTTGTGGTAGTATAAGACAAATTTACAATAATTTCATTATGTTATTTACAATATATCTCATTTGATATACATAATAGCACTTAAGTAATCAATAATTAAAATGCATTCCATGTAATACTTGAGAAAACTGAAGAACAAGCTCAGTGCCACTGACATAAAACAAGGCCTTTTGAGTCCAGTATTTTAAGCATTATCCCTTATTATCTCATGATAAACATTCACCCTAATACACTAATGTCGATCCCTCACTGCTAAAAAGCTAACTGAACTGGTAGCAAATCTAGCCTGTAAGAGGAAACACCATTTCAGTTACTCTTTTATTTGTAGCAGCAAATAACACGTTGAAAATACTTTCACTTACTAACACGGTGGGCATCCCTTTCTGCATGTAGCAGACAGCACCCACTTCCTACATCAGAGACAAGGACAGAAACCAAAATGGACACAAATCCCAACTCTATTTGAGCCTCCATAGCTGGCAACACACATGGCACTACACTTACCCTGCAGATATCAAAGAAGGTCTCAGTGAGGTGGAAGAAGATATGGAAAGAAAACAAAGATCAGAGATCTTCTCTAGCCAGGTGGCAAGTAAAGAAGAGGGCAGTTTATGGCTTTCAGAGCAGACACACAGAGAAAATTGTTCCTGAAAAAAAGAGAAACTGCCCCCACATCTCTGCCTATAGCTCCATCTCAACTAATGCACAAACTACTTACTGCTTTGTAAACCTCTCAAGAAAATTTAATAAACCTAGATATTCTTTTCTTCTTTTACCAGGACCAGAAAAAAAAAATCATACAATGACTTACAGAATCTCTAATGGGGCCTATCTGACCTACCAATATCAAAAGAGACCTTCAAATTTAAAGGATTAATAAACAAAAAACACCAAACATATGAAAACATTCAGTCTATTCAAAATAAGGGGAACACTAACTATTCACAGGAAATGTACCTTAGTAAAAGTATTACTGTGAGAATCACACCCTTTTCAACCACACTAAGACCCAACTGTGGATGAAAAACTCTGTTTGTAAAAGCCACTCTGTAAAGTCTGGAAGAAGTGATTGCTTCATCAGACACACAGATATAAATGTAGGGACACAAAAAACATGAAAAAGCAAGGAAATATGACACCAAAGGAATACAATGACATGCCAGGGACAGACTCCAAAGAAAAGGAAATTGGCAAACTGCCAGAAAAGAAATTCAAAATAATGGTCTTAAGAAAACTTGATGAGATACAAGAGAAAACAGATAAACAATTCAACAAAATCACAAAAAACAATTCATGATGTGAATGAGAAATTTAACAAAGAGATAGATACCATAAAAAAGAACCAAAGAGGAATCCTATAGCTGAAGAATTCAATGAATGCAGTAAAAAAGTACAATCTAGAGCTTCAATAGCAGACTAGAGCAAGCAGAAGAAAGAATCTCTGAACTTGAAGATGGGTCATTTGAAATTACACAATCACAGGGAAAAAAAGAATTTTAAAAGTGGAGAAAGCCTACAGGAACTATAGGACACCATTAAGTGAACAAATATTTGAATTATGGGCATTCCCAAAGACAAGAAGGAGGCACCAAAAGCTTATTTAATGAAATAATTGCTGACAACATTTTAAGACTTAGGAGAGAGATGGACATAGATCCAGGAAGCTCAAAGGTCCCCAAATAGATTCAATCCCAAAAGGTCCCCTCCAAGGCACATTATAGTCAAAATGTTGAGTCAAAGACAAAGAGAGAATTCTAGAAATAGCAAGAGAAAAGCATCAGGTCACATATAAAGGAATCCCCATTAGACTAACAGCCAATTTCTCAGCAAAAACCTTACAGGCCAGAAGACAATGGTATGATACATACAAGGCGCTAAAAGAAAAATACTGCCAGCCAAAAATACCATATCCAGCAAAGTTATCCTTCAGGAATGAAGGAGAAATAAAGTCCTTTGCAGACAAACAATAATTGAGAGTATTCATCACCACTGGTAAAGCAGGTACACAAATGTGAAAGAAAAAAAAAAATCAATCTTTATCACTACAAAAAACACATCTAATTACAATGATAAACAATAAGTGAGAAAGGAAGGAACAAAAGATATTGAAAACTATCAACCAAATGGCAGGAGTTAAGTCCTCACCTATCAACAATAACCTTGAATTTAAGTAGACTGATTCTCCACTTAAAAGATAAAGACTGGCTGAATAGATTAAAAAAACAAGATCCAACTATATGCTGCCTTCAGGAAACTCATTTCACCTGTAAAGACATACACAGGCTCAAAGTGAAGGGATGGAAAAACATTCCATGCAAACAGAAACCAAAAGCAAGTAGAAGTTATACTTATATTAATATAGAACAGACTTTAAGTCAAAAACTGTAAAAAGAGACAAAGTTATTATATAACATTAAAGGGGTCAATTCAGCAAGAAGATATAACAATTATAAATATATATGCATCCAACATTGTACCACCCAGATATACAAAGCAAACATTAGATTTAGTGGGAGAAATAGACCCCAATACAATAACAGTTGGGAACTTCAACACCCCACTTTCAGCATTAGACAGATCATCTAGACAGAAAATCAGCAAAGAAACATTGGATTTAAACTACACTACAGACTGAATGGGACTTACAGACATCTACAGAACATTTCATCCAGCTACTACAGAATACACATTATTCTCATCAGCACATTGAACATTCTCCAGAATTGACATATGTTAGGGCAAAGAACAATCCCAACAAATTATAAAAAACTGAAATCATATCAAGTATCTTCTCTGATCACAATGGAATAAAACCAGAAATCAACAGCAAGAGAAACCCTCAAAACTGTACAAATACAGGGATTAAACAACATGTTCCAGAATGACCACTGGGTCAAAGAAGAAATTCAGAAGATTAAACACTTCTTGAAACAAATTAAAACAGAAACACAGCATACCGAAACCTATGGGATACAGTCAAAGCAGTGTTATGAGGGAAGTTTATAACAATAAAAACTTACATCAAAAAGTACAAATATTTCAAATAAATAAACTAATAATGCATCTTAAGGAACTAGAAAAGAACAAACCAAACCCAAGACTACAGAAGGTAAGAAATAACAAAGATCACAGCAGAAAACAAAATTGAGACAAAAAAAAGATTGACAAAACATTGGTTTTTTGAAAAGATAGAATTGACAAGCCATTAGCTAACCATGAAAAAAAAAAAAAGACTCCAAATCAGAAGTAAAAAAGGAGACAAAAAATGATACTATAGAAATACAATGGATCATTCAAGATTATTATAAACAACTATATGTCAACAAAGTGGAAAACCTAGAAGAAACAGATTCCTGGACACATACTGTCTATCAAGACTAAACTAAGAAGAAATAGAAAACCTGAATAGACCAATTATAAGTGACAAAACTGAATCAGTAATAAAAAGTCTTCCAACAAAAACAACCCCACTACCAGGTGGCTTCATGACTGCCATATATATCCTACCAAACATATTAAAAAGAATGCCAATTATTCTCAAACTCTTCGAAAAAAATTGAAGAGGAGGGAACTCTTCCAAATTCATTCTATAAGGCTGGCATTACCCTGATACCAAAACTGGTCAAGGACATAACAAAGAAAATTATAGGCCAATATCCCTGATAAACCTTAAAGCAAAAATTCTCAGCAAAACACTAGCAAACCAAATCCAGCATCATATTAAAAAGATCATTCACTATGATCAAGAGGGCTTTATCCCAGGGATGCAGGATTGATTAAACATGCAAATCAATAAATGTGATACATCACATCAACAGAATGAAGGACAAAAACCATGTGATCATCTCAATTGACACAGAAAAAGCATATGATAATATTCAACATAACTTCATGACAAATTAGGCATAGAAGAAATGTACCTCAACATAATAAAAGCCACATATGACAAACCAACAGCAAATATAACGAATGGGGAAAAACTGAAAGCTCTTCCTGTTAAGAACCGGAACAAGACAAGGGGTCCCACTCTCTCCATTCTTATTCAACATAGTACTGTAAGTCCTAGCCAGAACAATTAGGCAAGATAATGAAATAAAGGGCATCCAAATTGGAAATGAGGAAGTCAAAATGTCCCTGTGTGCAGATGACATAGTCTTATATACAGAAAAACCTAAAAGCGCCACCAAAAAACTCTTAGAACTGATAAACAAATTCAGTAAAGTTGTAGGTTACAGAATCAACATGCAAAAATCAGTAGCATATTTACACACCAATGATGAGCAAGATGAA